TTTTTGTTTGTAGTTGTCTTCACTTGCCAATTGCTATTTCTGGTTCCCTGTTTACAATCTTGTAAGCTCATTTTACTTTGGATATGTCCGTTGCTGTGGTTTCTGGGTTATGTTATCTTGTGTATTAATGGTTGGTTGTTATTTGCTATTTTCTCTGATCAAAGGTTTCCCTTTAGAATGTCAGACAAATTTTTAAACAAGAACCTTGTTTATTGCTAGAATTTATATTTTTGATACATGCTTATTTAAAATTTTGCTTTGGGAAATTTTGCTTTTTATAAGTGGTAGAACATTTAGGAACAAAATTCAACATTACTTTTTTTTGTTTTACTGGGATGCATGAGGAAAATATATAGCTTTCAGGAAAGTTACTTCATTATCATCATATGTTATTTTAATTTCATTTGTCAAAAGGGATGTATAGGTCTACATACAGCAGAAAGCATATTTGAGACAGGGACCTGGATTCACAGATAATTAGTTACTAAGTATTCATATTTTATTTTTTCTGCTGTTATCATATTTACTTATATTTTGTTTTAAACTGTCCCTAGGCTAAGGGTTGATATTGTTTCATACCTACTAGGCCAACTTCTGTGCATAAATTAGGTTTGTGAGTTTTGAGGTGTTTTTTAAATTCTGCATAAATAAATATATTTTAAATAAAGAGAGATTATTATGTTGGTTCACTTGGAGTAATTATTGAATAATCAGTTTTTATGAAACTTTTAAATTTAGGATTCTTTTCATTACAAGAATGCCAAAAAACCAACTTTCCAAAAGAAGAATGGTAATACGCAAAAGAGTTCACATACAACACTTCCTAACCGAGGTAAGACTACATTAAGAAATTAATAATGTGTTTTTAAATTTTATATGATTTTTTAAATATTATGCATATTATTTTATATAGTTAACAGACAAAAGTGGAAAAGTATAACTGCCCAGAAACCATGTAGCAATATTATTTTATTACGAGAACGGATTATATCTTTGCAACAACAAAATAGTGTACTTCAGAATGCCAGAAAAACCGCTGATTTGTCAGTTAAAGAGTATAAAGAAATCAACGCAAAGCTCCTTCATCAACAGCAAATATCTGATCAAAAACTTCAGACAAGCCGGCAAACAATAAAGGTAAAGAGAGCTTTACAGATAAATTATAATAGACGATGTTACAAAACTGAATAATTTGTTTTACATGTGTTGTTTAGTTTATATTTGTGTTATTCAAACATGCCTATGAATTTTTTTAAAAAAAATTCCAAGTGATTGCTAACTAATGTAATTTGCATAACTACTAGACTTTAGTAAAGACATTTTTAGGGCAACCTGCATGAGGGAGGGAACTCCAAATCAAAAAAGATTTTTACTGTCTTTACTTTCTCTCTTAGTTTTTCTCTTCTTAATATTTCTGTGAGTTCTTTATTAAGTGTTTTATCTTAGTTTTTAGAAGCAGGTGCCATAAATGGCAGTTAGCTCACCCATTTGCTCATCTCTGAAACTATTTAGACTATAAATTATATTATTAAACTAGTAATTTCTCCAGTGCTTCTTTGCAGATATAGTTTAAAATGTAAAGATTTTAACAAATACCTTATTGTTTTCCAATAACCTATCTATGATTCTTTTACTCAGTTCAGTTGATCCTGCAACAGGTTTTTTTTTTTTTTGCCACATTATACCTTAGCCCTGGTTATCATAATTTAATCTTAAAGCAAATGAAAAACATAGCATTTCTTACTCCTTAAATTTACATTCTTTGGGGTATGTTCTTATAGAAGGTATAATCCATTGGAAAATTTTTTTTAAACAGAAAAATTATTTTCATATCAGAAAATGAGTTTTAAATCATTTTCACACATAATTTCAAATTACACTTACATTCTCTACTTCTAATATCTAGTACTTTGACCCACACAGTACTTAGAAATGTTAAGTATAAAGGGTTAATGTTACACTAGTATGAACTGCGGGAGCTCTGGTAGCATAGTGGCTAAGACACTTGACTGCTCACCAGAAGGCTGGCGGTTCAAACCCACCAGCCACTCCTCGGAAGGAAGGTTGGGCAATCCTACTTCCGTAGTGATACTGCCTCGGAAACCCAAGGAGGGGTCGCTATGAGTCAGGGCTGACTCGACGGCACATAACAACAACAACAACAACAAAGTATGAACTGCATTGTAGCTTCTTTCTCAGAGTAGCCTTATACCCACACCTAACTCAAGTTCCAAACATAAACTGGGAGTTTGAGGATTTCACAGGGATAGAGAGCCTTAGAAATTTGGGAGAGGGTGAGCACATGCAACTGAGCTGCGTGTCCAGCCACTGGATGAGAAGCAGAATTCCTGAAATGATGTGATGAACCCATACTTATTTTACTGGCTGATACTTGCTTTTCTTTTCTTTCCTAATTTTAAAATAGTCCTTTCTTTCTTTTCCTCTTTATTTCTCCCTCCTTTCCTTCTTTCATACGTTTTGTAATTAAATATATTGTTTTATATCACTCCTTGGTATTATAAACTATAAACTTACTGCAATCAAGTTGATTCTGCCTCATAGTGATCCCCATTGGGTTTCCCAGGTGGTAAATCTTGTTGGAGGTAGATTGCCCCATCTTCCTTCTGTAGAGCAGCTGAAGGGTTTGAACTGCCAGCCTTCTGCTTAGCAATCAACTACCTTAGGCACTGTGCAACCAGAGCTCCTTATTATAAACTTATGTGTTCCTAACTTTTTTATGGAAATGACTAAACAAAGGGAAAGGACTTTTTCTTAAAAAAAGAAAGAGAAATATTTCTCAACCCTATTCTCTCAACCCTATTATATAAAAAGCATTTGAACCCTCTTCAGTTTTCTTTTAAATTATATGCTAGACTGTTGGCTTTCCTTGACTAATGAAGGGTAAAATAAAATAACTTAGTATTGTCATATTGTATAAGAAGGTCACAATGGTTACAAAAGGCATTTTTGCCATCCTTTTTAGAATAGGAATTTTCTTCACTAAAGGTTGGAAATAGTGGTGTAGTCCTTTGCTTTGTTGTTATTGTTACGGGCCGTCAAGTCAGACGCGACTCATAGCGACCCCTCCTTGGGTTTCCGAGGCAGTATCATTACAGAAGTAGATGACCAACCTTCCTTCCGAGGAGTGGCTGATGGGTTTGAACCGCCAGCCTTCTGGTTAGTAGTCAAGTGTCTTAGGCAGTATGTTAAGGGAGTTCCTTTAAATTGCAGACATGAGAAAAGAAAGAGTCAAATGGTAGAACTGGGATTTTACTGAAAATCTGCATAAGGCATGCATTTCTTTTTCCCTCTTAACAACCAATTTTGTTTTCCTTTCTTACAACCAAGTAGGCAAACCTTGTTTTATTGCTCTTCACAGATAATATATTTTTCACAAATCTAAGGTTTGTGGCAACCCTGTGCTCAGTGAATCTGTGGGTGCCATTTTCTAACAGCATGTGCTCACTTTTTGTCGCTGGCAATTCTTAACAATATTTCCAACTTTTTCATAATTCTATTGAACGTTGACTTACAGTGTAGTTAGTATATGTAACTTGTATATGAACTGGGAAACCAAAAAATTCAAGTAACTCACTTAATCGCAGTATTTGCAGTATCTTTGAGCTACATCTGTAGTCTTTTTTCTATTCATCTCCCCCAAATATTCCACTGTTGTTAACATAACCTCCATGTCCTGCAAACAAAAGCTTCTGCTTTCCCTTTCCCTCTTACCTGTACCCCTGCTAACCACTAATGACCACTAATAATCTTACATATATATATATATATATATATATATATATAATTTTTTAAATCCTATTTAGCAATTTTCCTTCCCTTCCTCTCCAATCTGTGTTAACCAACACACTTTACTTCTATATATGAAACTTTCCTTGACTTGGTATAATTTTTTTTATAATGGTGGACTCATAAAATATTAGTTCTTCTGTGATTGAGTATGATTTCACTCAGCATAATGTTCTCCAAGTTCATCCACATTATGCAGTGTTTCACAGATTCTGCATTATTCTTTAGAGTTGCATGGTCGTCATTGTGTTTATGTACCACAGTTTGGTTATCCTTTCCTCCATTGATGGGCACTTAGGTTGTTCCTATCTCTTTGCTGTTGTGAATAGTGCTGCAGTGAACATGGATTGCATGTATCTGGTAGTATCCTGCCTCTCACTTCTTTAGGATATATACTTAGTAGTGGAATTACTGGATCAAATAGTACATCTATTTCTAACTTTTTAAGGAATCACCATACCGATTTCCACAGTGGTTGTATCATTTTACAGTCCTACCAGTAGTGTACCCAGTCTCTCCAAATCCTCGCCAGCCTTTATTATTTTCTGTCTTGTTGAACTTTGCTGTTAGTGCTAGAGTGAGATGCTATCTTGTTGTTTTGATTTGCATCTGTCTAAAGGCCAATGGGAGCTCTGGTAGCATAGTACCTAAGGCACTTGACTGCTAACCAGAAGGCTGGTGGTTCAAACCCATCAGCCACTCCTCGGAAGGAAGATGGGGCAATCTACTTCCGTAGTGATATTGTCTCGGAAATCCAAGGAGGGGTCACTATGAGTCGGGTCCTACTAGACGGCACATAACAACAACAACAACAAAGGGCTAATGATCATGAACATTTCTTCATGTGTTTATTGGCTGCCTGGAGCCTGGATATCTTCTTTGGTAAAAGTGTCTGTTCATGTCTTCTGCCCATCTTTTAATTTGATTGTGTTTTTGATGTTGAGGTGCTGGAGTTTTCTGTAAATTGTAGAGATAAGTCCCTTGTCAGATAGGTCATTGCCAAATATTTTCCCCCAATCTGTAGGTTCTCATTTTACTCTCTTGGAGAAGGCTTCTGATGCACATAAGAATTGAAGTTTTAGAAGTTCTCAATCATCTAGTTTCTCTTCTACTGTTTTTGCATTTTGGATTATTCTTGATAGTCTATTCATGCCATAAATTAGGGCCCCAAAGTTCTCCCCTATTTTTTCTTTGATGAATTTTATATTTTTAGGTTTCACATTTAATCTTTGATCCCTCTGGAGTTAGCTTTTATGTATGGTATGAGGTATGGATCTTGTTTCATTTTGTGTAACTGAATATCCAGTTTTGCCAGTACTCTTTGTTAGAGAGACTATGTATTCCCCCATTGAATGGATTCAGCCTTTTGTCAAAGATGAGTTGACCATAGTTGGATGGATCTATTCTGTTCCATTGGTGTATGTGTGTGTTGTTATACCAGTATCAGACTGTTCGACTACTGTGGCTATTGTAGTAGGTTTTGAGATCTCAGAGTGAGAGAACTCCTACTATGTTCTTCTTCAATAGTGCTTTGCTTTCCAAGGTCTCTTTTCTTTCCATATAAAATTAGTGATTGGTTTTTCCATGTCCTTAAAGAATGCTGATGGAATCTGGATCAGGATTTTGTTGAATGTGTAGATTGCTTTGGGTAGTACTGACATTTTCACAATGTTCAATCTTCCTATCCATGAGCAAGGTATGTTCTTCCATTTATGTAGTGTTTTTTTCATTTTCTTTGTATAGGTCTTTTGTGTTCCTGGTGAATTTATTCCCAAGTATTTTATCTTATCTTTTTGGTAGCTATTGTCAATGGCATTGATTTCCTTATTTCTTTTTTAGAGATCTCTTTGCTGGTACAGAAGAATCCAACTGATTTTTGTATGTTGATGTTGTATCCTGCCACTATGCCAAATCTTTCCATTAGTTCCAGTAGTTTTCTTGCTGAGACTCTTGTTGGGTTTTCTATGTATAGGATCATATCATTCCAAATAGCAATAGTTTTACTTCCTCCACACCTGTTTGGATACCTTTTATTTTCATTTCTTGCTTTATTGCCCTGGCTAGGACTTCCAATACAATATTGAATGGAAGTGATAATAGAGGGCATCCTTGGCTGGTTCAAGGGTAATTAATGGTTTTAATCTCTCTTCATTGAGAATAATGTTAGCTGTTGGTTTTGCATATATGCCCTTTATTATGTTGAGAAATTTCCCTTCTACTCCTATTTTGCTGAGAGTTTTGATCAGGAATGGTGGTGGATTTTATCAAATGCCTTTTCTGCATCTATTGATATAAGTCTGTAGTCCTGAGGTGTCATACAGGTGGCATCC